GCAAAGAAAAGTCCAGCGGCTGGCCACTGACTGTCGGCCTCGTGGCACATTACTTTAAGAGCAGTGCTAGGAGCACTCGCCTCCTGCACTCTCCAGCCAACACATGCTTTTTTATTGGGCCACGTAAACTTGCTAGGGCTATGATATGATTACCTCTTCACCCCCACCAGCATAACGTGGTCCAATGAAAATAGAAGTGTTGGTTGGAGAGTGCAAATGGCGAGTGTTCTTAGCATTGCTCTTACTTTAATGGTGTATGTCTGGTTGAATTTATTAGCTGGTGCCAATTCATTTTTCATCCAATAATATTATCGTATATTATTGCTTTTAATTTTCAACCAAAAAAAAAAAAAAGTAACATCTACTGTACATTAAAAAAAAACTAAATCATTGTTCTTGTTTTAAAAAAAAATATAAATAAAGATATTAATTTTATATTTTTAAATAAAAATATTAATTTTTAATTAAAATTTTTAATTTTTATTTAAAAATTAATTAAATGATGATAATGACATCATAAACAGATTTTTAAGTATAATATTAAAAATTAATATCTTTAAATAAAAAAATAAAAATTAATATTTTTATTTAAAAATTAACAAAATCAGCATTTTTAAATAATAAAAAACTTATCTAACTAGTATCTTTTGTCATACATACATATTAAAAAATATATCTACCTTGATATTTTTTTTATCATAAATGCATAAAAAAAATATAAGAGTTAATATTAATTTTAATATTGATATTAAGTGAATGAATTTAATTAGATTATTAATAAATCAAAGGTCAACTATTGTCTTTTTAATATAAATTTATTTTAAAAAATATATTTATTATATTTTTAATTTATATTTTAAATACAAGTTAAAAAACTTGTGAAAAATATATAATTAACATTTTCATTTATATCTTTTTTGTTTAGAGTTGTTATTTAAATTTGATTTTCAATATAGATTACACAAAAAAATACATTTTTTTATATGACAAAAAAATACAATTTAAATATGAAAATTATTAAAACACTTTTAATAAAACTCTCAGTTAAATTTATTTACTAACAATCTATTAATAATTTCAGTATTAAATTATAATTTTTTATGCAGTCTATTGGAAACAACTAATCTCTTTGATTTATACCCAATTTAGCCTTTTAGTTATTTAACCATGATTTAATGTTTTTCATAAAATAAATGACTAGTAATTTAAAAAAAAAAAACCTTTTTTATGAACAGGCCACGTAATTTAATTTTTTTAATACTAAATTTTTATTGAGTTGTTTTCTTACTCATATGTCTGCCTTTCATCCATATCTTACATGCTTTGAAATGAAAAGTCTGCCTTCAACAAATGTAAATTATTGCTGAATTACTAAAATTCTCTATAATTAAAGTTATTTTGGAGTAGATCATGCATACCCAACACTAAATGAATTCAAAACTAATTATTAGACGTTCAATGATGCCTCAGTTTGTTCATAGCGATGTGAAAGATTACACGTACATTAAATTTAATATATATGAAATATTTTAGGATCTCAATTTATTTGACCAAAGGAGTGGATGAACTTAGACAATCATTTTTACACTAAATTTAGTACTTTCCTACCTAAGTAGTTTTTTTATTGAATTACCATTCATATTTAATTTTAGTTGTTTTGTTTTGATTTTTAATTTTTTATGAAATTAATTTTAAATTAAAATTTAACATAATAGTATATAACAAATAACATTTTAATTATTTTATTAAATGGAACTAGTACTCAATAAAGAACCATATGTACTAGAAAAAAAATTATTGATTATCAATTTATATGTTTGGTTAAAATTTTATTTAAATTTAATATTTAAAAAATAAAAAATTAAATTAAATCAATTAAATTTAAACGAAGTAAATAAAATTTAAAGAAATTCTTAGAAAACAATGATATTAAGTGTGAACCCTGTTTATAAAAATTAACTACAAATCATAATCAAGCAGAAAGCAGCATGAATCAAGTATACATGTTGAATTTTTAAAATAAATAAAATTAAGAAAACCTTCTTCTTACGTCATTTGAAGTTTTGCTCTAGCCAATGTGATTTAAATTTTACTATAAAAGAAAAAAAAATCAAACTAACTAATAATAATTAGATTTTTTTTT